AAGAATACTGATGGTCCCTTTCCTCAAAATAGCCCCAAACTGGAAATGACCACACGTGCAGGAGCTGTGGCATTCAGCAGCAGGTGTCTCGGAAGGACACCTTGTTGGATGTAAGAGGTCAGACGTGGAAGGGAGTGCGCCACGGAATTCCATTTGGATGGGGGTCAAGGGAAGGTAAAGGAGGTCGGGATCAGTGGTTCCAGAGGGTGGGGGACCCCCGGGAGGGGGCACTGGAAACGTCCCATGTCCCTACTCGGCTCAGGGTTACACATGTGCACTTTATACCTAAATGGGGCAAACAAACAGTTGGAAAGTAAAGTGACGACCGTAAGCTCAGCTGGTCGGGCTATGTGGAGGCGATCTGCTCTCGCGCCCGCTCCCGGCTCATCTCCGGACCGACCCCAGCTCGGGGGCCACCTCCAGGGCACACCAACTCCAGGCGCCAACCCCGTGCGCGTGAGGACACAGGCTGGGAGCGGTGATGCCGCACATCCAGGGATACCTGCCTGGTCCGTGGAGGAGCCGGGCCGGGCACAGCCGCTGACTCCCGGTCGAGCCTCTCAGCCCCACCCTGCACGTCTGCCCCAGGGAACAACATCTCCTCACCTCTTTGGCTTCGTTTTGCGCTTTCATATTTTCGGCAATATACCTGACGCTCTGGATGGCTTCTCTGATTTCCGGTGACATCGTAGAGAGGGCCAGCACGGCCTGGATGGACTCCGAGCTGGAGGGGCTCGGGAGGTTGGCGCTGAAATTGGAGATTTTCATCCTGCGGTGTTGGCACTGGCCACATGTCCCCTCCTGGCAGGGACAGCCGTCCTTGCAGCCTCTTGGCTCCGTGCGGCTGAAGCAGTTGAGACTGGAGAGCTCCGCACTGTACGAGGGCCTCGGCTTCTGGGTGGGGCCTCCGCTGCCTGCCGGCCTGGTCATGAACATGACCCTGGGAAGCAGGTGCAGGAAGATGGTCTTCACCCACGTAGGCATGGTGTGCGTGGTCGGCGTCCTGTAGTGCACGTTGAGCACGAAGACCGTGATGACGATGGACAGCGTGACGAAGATCATGGTGAACAGCAGGTACTCGCCGATGAGCGGAATCACCAGCGAGGTGGAGGGGATGGTCTCGGTGATGACCAGGAGAAACACGGTCAGGGAGAGGAGCACCGAGATGCAGAGCGTCACCTTCTCGCCGCAGTCTGAGGGCAGGTAGAAGACCAGCACGGTGAGGAAGGAGATGAGCAGGCAGGGGATGATGAGGTTGATGGTGTAGAAGAGGGGCAGGCGCCGGATGTAGAGCGAGTACGTGATGTCGGGGTAGATCTCCTCGCAGCAGTTGTACTTGATGTCGTGCTTGTAGCCGGGGGCTTTGATGATGGCCCACTCGCCGCTCTCCCAGTAGTCCTTGAGGTTCATGGAGGAGCCGATGAGGACCAGGTCGATTTTCGCCTTGTCGTAGGACCAGGACCCGAACTTCATGGTGCAGTTCTGGTAATCGAACGGAAAGTAGGTCACGTCGATCTTGCACGAGCTCTTGAAGATGGCCGGCGGGATCCAAGTCACTTCCCCTGTGTACTTGAGTAAAGCCTTGGTCTTGTCGTCCACCTGGAAGTCCCCGACAGCACTGCAGAGACAGGTGGGCGGCACACGTCATGACCACGCGCTCACCAGGGCCCGCGTCTCACACCGCCGGCAGCGAGTACAAGTAACCGCTTACGGGACCACACGGCAGGAGGGCGAGCCGGAGAAAGTTGCCCAGGCCATCACCCCGCTGACCAACGGGGACACCGCGGCCCAGGCCTGCATCCCCCCACCCGGGCGCATCCCTGGTTCACTCCACAGCCATGACTCTGCCTTGATATTTACCAGAAAGGGATTGTTTCCCCTCTAAAGAAATGGGATGAATGTTGTCCTTCAGGCAGGAAACCTGTGGGGATATTTGCCCCTCGTTCTGCTGGGGTTTAGACCTGTCAGCACCTCATTCAGTCTCTGGCACGCAGTGTGTGCCCACGGGCGCGTGAGGCCAGGCTGTGGAGCCGTGAGACCGCCGGGGGGCCCACTCCCCCACCCGGAGCCCCGTCAGTCGGGCTCACACCAGACACGGCCCGCGACCCTGCTCTCCCCACGCGCCCACCCCCACCCCCAGGCCTGCTCTGCTTGAACGTTCATGGGTTCTGATTCCTTGTCTTCCAAAGCCTGCACAACAGGTTACTTTATCTTCCGGTTCCCCCTCTGCCCCCATTTTCTCCCTGCCTTTCACCTCCGCGTGCCCGGACCGTCTACACAGAGCCCCGTGGGCCCCCGTCCTGCATCCGAGAGTCACGGTTGTGGCCTCGCCCTGGGGGGAGGCCCTACTGGTCTCCTCGAGTTCTGCCCTGGAGGCATGCACACCCTGCAGAAGGAGTGGCCACCTCGCCCGTCTGCCTCGGCGGTGGGAGAACAGGACACACCTGCACGTTAGGGGACAGCTGGGTGTTCCCTGTTATTTAGTGAGAACGTGTGGACACAGAAGGGCTGTGTCTTGCTGGTCTCTGCCCCCATCCATGCCTCCGTGGAGCAGGCCCTCGTTGGCGTGAAAATCCCAGGCCACTGCCTCCCTGTCCTCCGGTCGGCAGGTCTGTCCCACAGGGGCCCTGCGGGCTTCGTTCATGCTCAGCGCCCTTCGTTCTCGCTCCGGCTCCACGCGGATGGGAGGCACGAGGAGTGGGCAGGGCCCATGTGGCCCTGACTGTGATTCTCCTGAAGAACCCGCGGGGCCTGTTCAGGGGGCTGAGAAGACCCCAGAGCAACGTCCTCATGGCGTCCTGGGCCCACAAAACGTGGGAATGGAAAGAGACCTCCAGACCACGGCGCACAGGCCGTTGCCTCCTCTGTGAATACGTGTCCACTGGGACACAGCCACCCTGTCTGTGTCTGTTTCGGGTGACAAGGGCAGTGGGGCCACGGCTGGGACTGGCCCACAAAGTCTAAAATAGTTACTGGCCAGCCCTTGCCATCCACCGTTCTAGCCCAGCGGCCTCCCTGAGGACGACACCGACGGTCAGACCGCGGGCTCCCACGGAGTGTTTGTGGCAGGGCCTTGACCCACCGGAACTTGGGGCACAAGTGAGGGGTCACTAAACCACCCCTGTGCACCCCAAGGCCAAACACCGGAGTGAAGTTTGCCCGGATGGGTGATGCTCATTCCTGCTTGTTCCCGGGGATCCTGGTCCCGGGGCGGCGCCTGCACTGGAGGCCTTCTGCTGACCGGGCCGTGTCCGAACCGTGGAAGACCACGACCCAGCTGGGCCCTGGGGGGCGGCACGGCACCCACCACAAACAGGGCCCTTGTACGCATTAGTACGTAATAAACGGTCGCCTCGGGGGTCCAGGAGATGCGGGCAGCAAGACCCAGCTGGAGTGGGAGGGCTCTGGGCCGCCTGTGAGGCCGTTGGAGGAGAGAAGGTGGGTGGGGGCTTGCTCTCAGGGAGACGGAGCCTCAGGGGGCCGAGGGTGATGAGCGGTGTGAATGTTCTCTCCAAATTCCCAGCAGCAGACAGACAGGCAACCCGGGGAGCAAAGGAAAACCTACTGAGCACATCATCAAAGTCAGGTTACAGGCAAACGAGCTTCAGAATACGAGCGTGTGGGGACCAAGCCAAGCCCAGGGAGGCCTGCGTGGACGGTGATCAACCGGGAGCAGTGATGGCCGGGGTAAGAGGAAGTTCTCGTGTCCCAAGAGCCCCAGACACAGAAACCATGAGGAGACATCTGTCCCTCAAGAAAGAGGCCCCCGCTCTGTGTTGAACCCTCAGCAAGGGGAGCAGTGAAACGGGGGGCCCATGGATTTGCTTGTGGGGAAGAACCAAGAAGATGGTGCGGTCCATGGACGGTCTGCAGGGACGGCCATGGGGGCTGGTGTGGGCTCGAGGGTCTCAGACATTCCTCCCCCAAACTCCCTCCTGGGAAGACACAGACCCACCCAGAAAAATGCTGCTTAGGGTAGGATCCAAGTTAAACAGGGCCGGAAACGGGTTAAGAGAAGGAAGAGGGTTTACAGACCGGAAAAGCAGGTGTCTAGCGGCGGCTGCACTCCGACCCTGGGGCCCGCTGACCCAGATGCTCTCAAGCTGGCAAAAGGAGACCCCCGCCTGCCCGGTCCCCTCTGGGAGCCTGTCCTCAAAGTTCAGCAAAGGCCACTATCTCCACAAGAGCAACAGGAAGGACTGTAGTGTGAGAAATGCAAGAACACGACTGCCTAAATCACAAGCAGATAAGTGCACACCCCGAAGGACGGCCCCAGAGCCGGGGAAAGGCACGGCCCAATGTACAGATCAAGATGCGCTAAGTGACCTCTGGAAGCGGAAGGAGCAGTGTAACCAGACGCTAAATAACCTGGCTGGAGCAGCAGGTGTATCAAGAGTTGGCAAAACTGAGGGAAGAATCAGGAAAAGAAACAAAAACCACCTTAGAAGCAAAGCCTAAAAGCAACAAGACGGTGTCGAAAGCGCGGTTGCAGGAATGAACCCAGACAGGACCGATGTCCACATCAGACAGAAACGAGAACCCCAGAGAAGAATCCAGAATGTGGGTGAAGCTCCGACGTACATGCAAACAGAGTTCCCGGAGACAAAAACCAAAGCAGTGGGACAAGTCTCATGTCCTGGGACTCAGAAAAAAGCTTTCCTGGTGTCGAGTCTTATCCTGTGCGCGCGGCACAAACAACGGGACTTGAGAGACGAGGGCAGGGAGGCTCCGGGCACCCGAGCTGGAGGAAGAGCCCCTGCAAGGACTCTACTCCCCGGTTGCCCAGACCGTCCTGGTTCAGGTCGTGGTCCTGGCGTGCGTGCCCCAGCGGCCCCCTTTCTCTTTCCGAAGCCACCCGTTTTCACCTGCTTAGATGGGCATCAGATTTTCACACGACACTTCACCCCGGGACAGAGAGGCAGCATTAAGTCTTTCATGTGAGGAAGATCTCGGCCAAGGATTTTATATCCAGCTAAGCATTATCTAAAAAGGCTACAGTGGGTTATGAACGTGCAAGAACGTGGGGAATTTTGTGCCCATGAGCGTTTTCTGAGGGTCCTGTTAGAGAGTGAACTTCAGAAAACCGAAACCACAGGGGAAATTCTGGCCCGAGATCGTCAAAGATGTTTCTCATGTGTCCAAATGAAAGAAACTCTCCAGAGAGGGACCAGTCCTGAGAAACTCCAGCCCTAACTCGGAGACAGGAGCTGTGCGGTTTCCTCTAAAACTTATTTTCAGTTCCAGATTCTGCGAGAATTCCTTATGCTATTTGCTCCTCACCATGTCCAACATGAAGCATTTCACTGTGACTCAGTCTTGTTAAACTCACACCCTCAGTCCTCCAGCTGTTCACCCAAGATTGCCAGCAAGGAAACAGCCTTGAAATTCACATCATGAGATTAAAATTTCTGCACATTTTCTTAATTCTAGCTTCGTGAAAATTCTCAGTGTTCTGCCCAGGTCCCTAAAAGCCTCTGGATGCTCATGCTTTGTAAACCAGCTGAGTTTATCTTGTGTCCCAGTTCTGTGCGGACTAAATTTACAAATACAAGTTGCATGAAAGAAACATTTATGAATGATGTATTTCCTTGGGAAAACAATAAAAGAACAAACAAAAACCTTGCCCCATCTTTGGAGTGGCTAAAGACCCTTCTTTTAGCCAGTGACCAGGAAGTGGGACTCAGCCAAAAATATAGCTTCTTCAGTCCTAGTAGTTGAAGCATATTACTTTGTACTAATCCGGCATAAGAAACCTAAACACCGAATACTTTTAATCGTTAAGATTTGATTAATTCTATATGAAGTGCTTTGCTGAAAAGTGCATGGTTAAAACACGTTAACTTTAGACAGAAAGCACAGCTATAAAAATGCTGTTTTTCCATACCCAGAGAAAAACTAGTACATGTTGTAAGATATCACTTAAGATTTGCCCAATAACAGAGCTTCACTGTGGAAAGCGTCAGGTTTTGGGAAAGAGGCCGGTTTCGGAGGCGCCACGATGGGCGGTGGAGAACCTGAGACAGGAGAGGCTGCACGCAACTGTGGGCCCACCGTCATCAGGGGCGGAGAGTGAAGCTTCCCTGGGTCCTGACCTTCGAGGAAGGTCGCGTTCCCTCCCTGGCTGCCCCTCCCGTCCCTAGCTGCACACTCGGAGGTTATGGTGCCTGCCTGCGTCCCCTGGGGTCAGGGTGGGGATCTCCGGCACGTGGCACACAGTAGATGCTCAGTATATCCCCGTGGAAGTCACGGATCCGCGAAGCCCCCTTGGATGCGGTCGGGGCAGGGCCCACCCCGCACTTACTTGTTGTACAGCACGATGTCCGGCTTCCAGATCTTCTGTGCGGGGACGCGCATGAACTCCGCCCCATCGTAGTCAGAGGGGTCCCACTTCAGCTTGTAGTCATTCCAGATCTGGGGAGAGGCCAGGGAGAGAGTGGGAGGCAGCAGAAGGACCCGCACGGTCTCCTTCCTTGACCTCACCGGTCCTGCGGAAGCCCGCACCTCTGAGCCCGTGGGGGAGACCGCGCTGGGCTGCCTCTGCGGCCGGGGCCGGCCCGCCCTGCGCCGACCAACGGCGATCCCCGCTGGTGCAGGCCAGCTGCGTGCCTTATGTGCTTGCTGTTTACGTCCTGAGACGGCTCTCCAGGAGCTTCCCCACACCTGTCCCGCCCCCCAAACCCAAGAATGCTAATGACACACAACCCTCCTCCACCTCCAGGTTAAGCGGGGCTGGTGTCTAAAGGTTCTGGGGAAGGAGCCAGGGCCCCACTGGGGCCCGAGAATCATGTAGGAGCAGACGCTGGGGGATGGGAGCAGGTGCACAATGGGCCCCGTACCCTCCTGCCTCCCCAGCCCCCGCAGCATGGGAAGGCTGCGTGGGCCGGCAGACGGTCACATTACTCCAGGGAGTTATCTGTCCAGGGCTGGACAAAGCCTCCCCGGGGGATGGGGGCCCATGGAAGCTGGTGTCTTTGACCTCAATCTGAACAGGAAAGTCCGGAGCCCCTGCTCCCACTCGGCCAAAGAAAACAGCATCTGATTTTCCTGAAGGACGGATTTTTGGTCAGAAGGGAAGGAGGTGGCCTCGGCACCAGCCCAGAGTCGGGGGCGGGCTCCAGGCCCAAGTCTGTCCCCTGCGACGCGTGACTGTGGAGGTCTGGCGGCAACCTGTCACGTGTGACTTGAGGGTCCGACTTCCGGGGGGGCTGTGCAGCAGTGCGTGTGACCCCAAGCCCAGGAAGAGCCGGCCGGCGGTGGTGACCCCATCTTTGGGAGTAGAGACAGCAGCCACCACCAGGGGGCAGCAGTGCCCAGGGTCCGCTCACTCACTTGCTTGAGCCACAGGTTGGTCTCCATGATCTGGTTGACTTCGTCCTAGATGGAGAGAGGAGAGTGGTCACGTGAATACGAACACCAGGCTGGTTCCGGGAAAGGCTCTTCCAGAAGCCCCGCTCCCCACGCCCCGGCTCGAGGCTCCCGCACTCACCACCTTCACCAGCTGAGACATGGACACTTCAAACTGGATGATGACTGGGTCCGACACGTTGGCCACAGGCCGGATGATCTCGTTGTAATCCTCGAACAGCCGCTCAAACAGACGGTGCTCGGCCTCGGAGGCCACGGCCACTGAGGGGAGGAAGTGTCACTTTTCCCCTGGCCAGGGACACCGCCCACCCACAGCCCCCTCATGGCCTGCTGTGGGGACTCCGCATCGCTTCGAGTTACAGACTGGGAAACTGAGGCCCGCCAGACACACGAGGTCACACACATCCAGGGAGAAACTGGTTACAAGCCTGGGCTGGAGTTGGGAGAGATCTGGTGCAAATCCTGCCAAACTGCTTGTCAGCTGTGTGAGCTTGGGCCAGGGGTTTAACCTCTCTGAACCTGACTTTCTTTACCGGTAAAAGCATCCATTACATCTGCACCCACCCGCAGGGCTGCAGTAAGCGAGCTGCTTCAGGCTAGCATAGGGAAGAGCTCACCAACTACCCTCACCTCCAATGTTAACACAGGGCGGGGTCGGTGCAAACGCAGTCGGCCTGCTACCTCCATGATGGAGAGATGGCCAGGGGCTCCCGGAGCAGGGCCACCCGGGGGGGCCAGGGGTTCTGCCTCCCAGCCTGTAGGAGACTGCAGCCCACCCAGGACCCCGTAGGGGTTTGGCCACCAACCCTCTGAGAAGCTGGGTGTGTACTTGGCTCCCATGATCTTGGAGTGAGACCCATGCATGGTTCCTGCTAAGTCTCTTTTTCCAGCCTGGTCAAAGACCTTACCTCCCTGAAGGGGGGAGAACCCCCTTTGTTTCTAAGCCACACCCAGGCGACCTGAGTCAGCCCTCTGCCCTTCCCACTTACGGGCCTGAGGACAGCGCGGGAGGGGATGACGGGAATCCTCCGGGAAGTCCAACCCAACTTGCCGGCGCCCTGAAATGGGGTCTTGCCTGCTACCACCTCCCAAACACAGCAGGGGCCACAGTCCGGGGCTGCTGAGGAGCTCAGGGACTCTGAGCGCTGGGGTCTCAGCATCAAGGGGACAGAAGCGGCGCTCCCCCGTCAGACTCCCCTTGCAGCCCTGACAAACCCCCGGCCCCCGGGCATCTGCCCGCCCTCCCGGCCGCCCGCAGGCCTCCTGCCCAGCGGGCTCCTCCCCAGACCCTGCACGAGGCGCGGCCTGCGGCGCGGAGAGGCGGGCGCGCTGGCCCCCAGCCTCCCAGCGATGCCCCCCTCCCGTAGGCGCCAGCGGCCTCAGTTCCCCATCTATTTCCAGAACGAGTAGGGGAGGGTGCGGGACGCAGACAGCGGAACCGACGACCAGGGCGCCGACCCCGCGACCCCGGGCTCTCTCGGCTCGCGCCCAGACGACTCGGGCTGGAGGGCTGGCCGGAGGGGCAACGGGACTCCCCGGCCCGGCGCGCGCCCCGTCTCTGCGCCCCCCGCCCGTCCCTCCCTCCGGCCC